GGGGGGGGGGGGGGTGCGATCCCTCCTTCAAAAACATCCACATGTTGGGAACGTTTTTAAGAGGCCTGAACCAGAGGGAAGGTTTTTACTTTCCCCCTCCCCCTGCTATTAGCCTGGGTAACTGGGGTTATCAAAACCAGGATGGCTTGGGAGTAAACCTAGGACCTTTCCTGAGACTGAAGGGGCCTGTTTGCATTTCAAAGAACCTCTTTCTTGCTGAAAACCATGAAGGGAACACAGCCATGGTGAAAAGGTTAAAACCACAAGCCCCCACGCTGCTGAGTGACCCTCTCGCCATCCGAATCGGGCTCAGCAAATCAAAATACAGCTGGCTGGAAAACAGGGTCCCTTCTTTGCAAACTGAAAGATTTCAATCTTGAAATGCTGCTCTGAGGCTTTCTGCTCCCGTTGGCTTCCCTGTGCCTCACTGAACCTCCTGCAATGCACCACGGGCCGGGGGCACATCGTGGCATGCAGGTGGCTGTGGTGCATTATGGGACAGGCTTGGAGAAAACAGGCGCACCAGGCCCCTGAACTGCAACCCCTGCCATGCAATGCAGTGCTAGAGAATCCACAGTGCTCAGTTTCTGACGACAAATGGAAGTCTTCTGTAGAAAGCTGACACTTTTCATAGAAACCTTCTATTTTCAATTAATAAAAATTTCCAGCTGGCCCCAATTACAATGCATTAATGGCAGCGCTAGGGAAGGGAAAGGGATTAGTGTCCCACAAAGCCAGACATGCAAAGCTGCCGGGCGTGGGGCGGGATGGAGCGTGCCCAGATCGCGTGTGGCAGGCACCAGGTAGGAGCTCTGCGCCGACTTGGAAAGGGTGAGTGCCAGCATGCCCACACGACACTGCAGCCCACGTATTTGTCACTCAACTAGCCCTGCCCTTTCCAGTAAAGACAGGTGGTGTGGAGAGACAGACTCTCTCTTTGGGGCTGTCAGCTCGGGCAGCAACTAGCGTGCATTTCTGCCAACATGGTTAACCTAAAAAACCCTGGAGAACCCTGTTAAAGCATAAGCAGATGCACTGAGGCAGCATTTACAGACTATGTCACAGCACAGCAGAGGAGTCACCTGATTAAAACACACCTCCTTTCCTGGGTTAGACAGACACCCTCAATTACACGCCTTCATGGTGTGAGGATGGAGAGAGAGGTATGGACTGATACACCCAGAGACAGCCAAATGGAGGAAGACAGTGCTTAGGTTGTACTTACGTGGCACAAAGATTAGGTTTCTTCCACCTGCAACCCCCAAATCCACAGGGCATTTGTCCACTTTTGTTCTGTGCAACTTACTGCGTGGGACTTCAACCAACGCTGGTGCAGTGAAGCGATAAGGGGCTGGATCAGCTCCTGCCCACACAGCCAGCTAATTTCACAACTAACGCCACTTCCAGCTTGACGTGGTCAATGCATTTTCCTCTGCAGGTCCCTGCCTCTAAGGGGCCAGCCTGCTATCACCTCCCCAAGCCAGAGGCACATGCAATGCCCCCCACAATTCACAGTGGCAAGCTGCACCAGCCCACATTACCCTGGTTCCACAGGATTAGATGCTAAATAAGCAAAAAGGTCAAAACGTCACAAGATAGGTCACTTCAATGACCTAATTTTTAAAAGAGCTTAGGAGCTATATTTACTGCATAGCCCACACCTTTACACAAATAACTCAACAGGTTGCGTCGACCAAGCCAGGGTTAGCTCTAAAATAAAGGAAAACGAGGGTAATTCCAGGACGCTTTATCTGGTAAGCAACCGACAAGCTTCCCCTCTGTAAATATCTTGCTGTCTACACATATCACTTTGCGGGTGAAACGAAGTCTAAAGCATCCTTTCGATAGCGCTGCAAACTCAAGTCAGTAACGTTACAATTAAGGGTACGATGCACACAGTATGCTGCCAAACGTGCAGAGTAAAACTGCAAAATAAATTCTGCAGTAGTCCAATTGTGAGTCTCTTTCAAGATGCGAACACACAAAGCTGAAATTCCACCTCAGCTGCTTTCTCCCGCCCAGCATCTAAATGTAGGTAAATGCAGAGCGCGTCTAGGTACCAGCAACCTGTGCTGTGCCATGCCACCAGTACAGATTTTGTAAAACTGAGTTCATTTGGAAGACACTGAGCACACCTGCTGCACAACAGCCAGAAAATAAAAGTGACCCTCAACATTGGAGAGCAGATCTGGTGATTGAAAGCATTCTTTGAGTAATACAGGAAGAGAAAAAGCAGCTAAACTCCCAGAAAGCACAAGATTGTACGGTCTAATGCAGTTAGCAATTAACTCACAAAATACACCTGGGGTGGGGAGAAGATTAATATGACTAGCAACTTCTTCCAGATCTTAAGACTACTGACTTTATTTTAAAATTCCCTGAGTTTTGTATGGCTGAGCTGAACAGGAAAAGCCAATGCTGCCATGCATGCCACAGGTGCAGCATGTTGCTTCTGCTCAGCTTGCACTTCCAGAGTATGGTTCACACAGGTCTGACAGCAGAGAATACCCTACAGGTTGAACAGACCTCAAATGTCACCCCCACAGTGAAGGTGAAAAACGAGCAACACCTTGGTTAGAGCTAGGATGAAAGCCTGCTGTAGCCGAATACCATTTCTGCCCTCACACTCCCAACCCACTCCAAAGAAGTACACTTAATTACAAAAATTCAACAAACTTCAGAGAGACGGACCCAAACGTTAAGAATCTTGGACAACAAAGACGACACCGGGAATACGCTATACAAATAGGAAATGGGATTTTTATAATAATTCTAACCTTTGTGTATTTTCTTGCGAATTTTAGGATGCAAAAGTTGAAAGTGGGTGGGAAAGGTAAACCACACAGGTCAGCAGCAAGCAAGGAAGCACGGGACAGAAGTGGGAACTGGCAGGGTGCCTTAAACATTTCCAGACATCTGAACTTTGGGAGTTTGTTTTGGAAAAGTCTGCAATTTGTAAGTGTACTTTTTCCGGGGCGACTCCCATGAAACTTGCGAACAATCTTCATTTGACTTCTCTTTCTTTTAATTTAAAGAAAGAAAATCCTGTTTTTTGAATGAACAAGGCTAACAAAAATTGTGAATCGGGCTGGTGGGTAAGGTCCCCAGGAGACGGCGCTACTCCAGCAGATCTGGCAGGAGTTTGCATTCTGGAAGTCCATGTGTATATATGGGGGAGGAGGGGAGAAGGGTGACAAGGCACCCATGCGCTAGTGGACAAGGGATGGGACTTTTCCCCCATGAAAAGTTTGCAAGCACTTGAAGGTGCTGTATGTGAGGAATACTACGTGCTTTTACCCTGCTAAAAGGCCAGGCATTTCCCTGCAACTTATTTAATAGATTTCATAGACTTTAGGGCTGGAAGGGACCTCATAAGATCATCGGGTCCAGCTCCCTGCCCTTCAGCTAGGGCCAAAGGATCCCAGCAAGATAAGCATCCAAATGTTTCTTAAAAGTGTCCAGAGTAGGTGCTTGTGCCACCTACACACCATTTCTCTTCCAGTTCCCTACACTCCCTTCCCCCCCCACTTTTATACGTGTGCAGGCACACACACAGGCTAGTGCCAGCCTGTCCTACAGGGATCTGCAGTACTTTATTTTCACCCATACATAATAAGCAATTTCTCAATCTATTTCTTCCTCCCCAACTTGGCACAGTCCTTCCTGAAAGACTGTGCACATGCCAAACTCAAAATTAAAATATATTCAGGTGTTTGTCTCTGCAGATAACCCTGGCATTGGAAAGCCACCTACCACACACATCTCCACGCCATTGAGCAGATTCTCCCCTTAGAGAGTGACACCTAAATTCACTTTCTGGACTAAGAACAAGAATGAAAAGCCTAGTCTCGGAGGGCTGTTTATCCAGAGAGCAGCAAGGTCTGAAGATAAGCATTTAAACTGAAAGCTGCATCCCAGCCACATCTCCCATTCCTAGCACAGGCCAGGATACTGTGCACGCTGGTGGGGCTGCAAAGCTGGCACAGAGCATCTTGCACATGGTAATGCAAGCTAGATGAGAACTTCAAACAGACTCATGGCTCCAGCGTTGCTGCCCTGGACATGCTCAATTCAGATGCGCATGAATGCGCTGAGAAAAGGTGACTTGCGCTTCCTCTGGGTTTGTCAGGGGGCCTCCCCAGAGGAGTGCAGGTGCTCTGTAGCCATGCAGCATCCTGCAGGTCTTTAAACCCGCTGGGAGCATGCACACAGGTGCCCTCAAATCACTCCATCCACATGCAGCACAACGGAGTTGCAATGGCCGCCTCTCTCATTCCTCTTCCAACCCCATACGTCTCCCAACCCAAGAAACACAACAACCCATGACGTGCCCTAGCTGTGCAATGCCGACGCAGC